TAACGCTAAGTTGCAATCGCTTCAAAATGGTTCTATATGATAAATATGTATTACACGGTTAAAAATATCGAAACACTACGCAGAAGGCGAGATCATATATCCATATGTATGGCTTGAATTCGTTTTGTGGAAATAATATGTATTTACACACAGTACAAGCAGAACAGCAAATCAAACTGCCACCCGATGTAATGTGGTACCTAATATATGCTAATACACAGCAAGTACATGCGCACGGCAAGCACGCACATACGCAAAACACATGACACACACACGCGGAGTTGAATTATTTTTACCGGCGGTTAATGATTATGTGTAACAAGGCCTCGGATTGGGGTAAGAGGTCCATAATTTAGCCGCGGTCGAATAATTTTTAGCTGCACTAAAAAATAATTTATCCACGGTTAAATTATTGTGTAACAACGCCTCTGATTGGGTAAAGGTCGCATAATGTAGCCGCGTCGAATATTTTTATCTGCAGTAAAAAATAATGTATCCACGGGTTAAATAATGTTAACACGACTCGATTGCGATAAGATACCAATCAATTTTCGCGTGGTTTAAGATTGATTTCAACAGCGTATAAATTTTGGTGTCTGAGTAGGCATAACGCCGGAAAAAATTATTGCCCATTTAAAAAATTCACAGGCCTTATTAATACAAAATTTTTAAGCCGCAGTTGAATTATTTTAACGCGGTTAAATTATGTTACACGACCACTTGATTAGGTAAAAGCCTATGAATTTAACCGGCGGTTAAATTATTTCTACCGCGTAAAATAATTATGCCGCGGATTTAAATTAATGTGTAACACGACCTCTGATTGGGTAAAATACTTAATAAATTTAGCCGCGCGTTAAATTATTTCAATCAGCGGAAAACTAATCTGTCTGTTTTTTGTCTGTCTGTTTGTCTGTCACGTCTTGTCTGTCTGTTTGTCTGTCTGTTTGTCTGTCTGTTTGTCTCGAACCTACTCTCTCTCTCTCTCTCTCTCTCTTCTCTCTCCTCTCTCTCTCTTCTCGCTTCTCTCTTCTCTCTCTCCTCTCTCTCTCTCTCTCTCTCTGCTCTGCTCTCTCCTTTCTCGATCTCTCTCCTCTCCTGCTCTCTCATCTCGTCTCTCGTCTCTCTCTCTCTCTCTCTCTGCTTTCTCTGCTCTCTCGTGTCTCTGCTCTCTCTCTCGTCATCTCTCTCTCCTCTCTCGATCCTGCCCTCCCTCCCTCCCTCTCTCTCTTCCTCTCCTCTCTCTCTCTCTCTCCTCGTCGTCTCCTCAGTCCTCTCTCTCTCCTCTCTCTCTTTCTCGTCTCGCTCTCCTCTCTCTTCTCTCTCTCTCTCTCCCTTCATATATAGTGGTCTCGGCGGTCTCACGCTCTCTCCTACCAACCCCCCGTTTCACCCCTCCCCTCCCTTCCCTCTCCCTAACTCCCCTTCTCTCTCACCACACCTCTCCCTCTCTCCGTCACCCCTAGCTCTCTCCTTTCTCGTCCTCACTTTCCAGGTCTCTAGCTCTATTACCCTCGCTCTCGCTCCGAGTCGCTTGTTTGCACGCGATGGAGAGTTTTTTGCCATGTGCTGCCATCTATGAGTCGTATGAGGGGTGAAGTAAAAACATATTTGTAGTAATTAATTATATACACTCATCGTTCATAGTGCGAAATGTTCGCAATGATTGTTACGCATCTAAATAGCTGTTATACAGAATATTAAACCATAGAAAAGCGCTAAAAAATTTCAATCCCTAGATTGGCTAGCTAAATGATTACATCGAGAACAGTATTATAGCAGATTCAGGATGGACGGCAGCATAAATGATTTTGTTTAGCGATTCGTGGTAATAATAAGATTTACTGGTATGTGCGTGTATGGACCATTACTACTAATAATTTTATTTATAACATGAATTCAGCTAGCTCTATTTGATTTATTCACGGCTATGACAATGTCTTGTAGTCCACTTTCTAATTTGTTTGTAAACGATCAGCATAATCTAGAAGCGGTTTGGAAAAATAAAATAGACTATCGTATTTTTATTGGCATTGAAGAAGTCGCGATTTGTTTTCCTTCGAGTTTTGTCTTCATTGGCAATAGGGCGATATGCTTAGTTATTGAACGTATTTTACTCCCCTATAATGAAACTCCTAGGTTGGTGTGAAATTATTTTGCATGGCCGCCTACCTGCGATCACTTAAACGCGTTTCAACAAAATCGGAGACCTATTTGGGCGGCAACCTTTTAATCATGAACATAAAACTATACTTGTAAGTATATTGGTATGGAGTGTAACTATAAAAGATATAGTTGTTAGATGCGTCATGGCTTTCATGTATAGAGAGGATCAGGAAATCAGGCATAACATAATCACTGCTTTTCGGGCCGCG